AGAGGAAAAAAAGGGGAGAAAAGGGAAAAAAAAGGGGGAAAAAAGGGTAAAAAGGGGGGGAAAATGGGGAAAAAAAGGGGAAAAAAGGGTAAAAATGGGGGGGAAATATCGAAAAAATGGGGAAAAAAGGGTAAAAAATGGGGAAAAAATTGGGAAAAAAAAGAGGAAAAAATTGAAAATAAAGGGGGAAAAATGGGGAGAAAATCAGAAAAAAAATAGGTAAAAATGGGGAAAAAATTGGGAAAAAAAAGAGGAAAAAATTGAAAATAAAGGGGGAAAAATGGGGAGAAAATCAGAAAAAAAATAGGTAAAAATGGGGAAAAAATTGGGAAAAAAAAGAGGAAAAAATTGAAAATAAAGGGGGAAAAATGGGGAGAAAATCAGAAAAAAAATAGGTAAAAATGGGGAAAAAATTGGGAAAAAAAAGAGGAAAAAATTGAAAATAAAGGGGGAAAAATGGGGAGAAAATCAGAAAAAAAATAGGTAAAAATGGGGAAAAAATTGGGAAAAAAAAGAGGAAAAAATTGAAAATAAAGGGGGAAAAATGGGGAGAAAATCAGAAAAAAAATAGGTAAAAATGGGGAAAAAATTGGGAAAAAAAAGAGGAAAAAATTGAAAATAAAGGGGGAAAAATGGGGAGAAAATCAGAAAAAAAATAGGTAAAAATGGGGAAAAAATTGGGAAAAAAAAGAGGAAAAAATTGAAAATAAAGGGGGAAAAATGGGGAGAAAATCAGAAAAAAAATAGGTAAAAATGGGGAAAAAATTGGGAAAAAAAAGAGGAAAAAATTGAAAATAAAGGGGGAAAAATGGGGAGAAAATCAGAAAAAAAATAGGTAAAAATGGGGAAAAAATTGGGAAAAAAAAGAGGAAAAAATTGAAAATAAAGGGGGAAAAATGGGGAGAAAATCAGAAAAAAAATAGGTAAAAATGGGGAAAAAATTGGGAAAAAAAAGAGGAAAAAATTGAAAATAAAGGGGGAAAAATGGGGAGAAAATCAGAAAAAAAATAGGTAAAAATGGGGAAAAAATTGGGAAAAAAAAGAGGAAAAAATTGAAAATAAAGGGGGAAAAATGGGGAGAAAATCAGAAAAAAAATAGGTAAAAATGGGGAAAAAATTGGGAAAAAAAAGAGGAAAAAATTGAAAATAAAGGGGGAAAAATGGGGAGAAAATCAGAAAAAAAATAGGTAAAAATGGGGAAAAAATTGGGAAAAAAAAGAGGAAAAAATTGAAAATAAAGGGGGAAAAATGGGGAGAAAATCAGAAAAAAAATAGGTAAAAATGGGGAAAAAATTGGGAAAAAAAAGAGGAAAAAATTGAAAATAAAGGGGGAAAAATGGGGAGAAAATCAGAAAAAAAATAGGTAAAAATGGGGAAAAAATTGGGAAAAAAAAGAGGAAAAAATTGAAAATAAAGGGGGAAAAATGGGGAGAAAATCAGAAAAAATAGGGCAAAAACAGAGGAAAAATCAGAAAAAAATGGGGAAAAAAAGAGGAAAAATCGAAAATGAAGGGGGGAAAAGGGGAAAATGTGGGGGAATGTGGAGAAGGCAGGAAAAAGGTGAAATTGCATCAAAAATGGGATTTTTTGCAGGTTTGCCAAGCTGCTGCTGCGGCTGCCGGCGCTGCTGAGGGGAAAAGGGGGAAAAAAGGGAAAAAACAGGAATAAAATGGGGAAAAAGACAGGGGAAAAAATGGGAATAAAAAGGGAATAAAAAGGGAAAAAGGAGGAATTAAAAGGGAATAAAAAGGGAGGAAAAAAGGGGGAAAATAAGGAGTAAAAAGGGGAGAAAATGGGAATAAAAAGGGGAAAAAAGAGAATAAAAAGGCAAAAAAAAGGAGGAAAAATCAGGGAAAAAAAGAGGAAAAAAAGGGGAAAAATGGGTAAAAATAGGGAAAAAGTGGGGAAATGTAGAAAAGGCAGGAAAAAGGTGAAATTGCATCAAAAATGGGATTTTTTTTTTGCAGGTTTGCCAAGCTGCTGCTGCGGCTGCCGGTGCTGCAGGGGGGAAAGGGGAAAAAAGGGAAAAAAGAGAAATAAAAGGGAAAAAAAGAGGAATAAAAAGAGAAATAAAAATGGAAAAAAGAGGAAGAAAAAGAGGAATGAAAAGGGAAAAAAAGAGGAATAAAAACAGAATAAAAAGGGAGGAAAAAAGGGGGGGAAATGAGGAATAAAAAGGGGAAAAATGGGAATAAAAAGGGGAAAAAATCAGGAAAAAATTGGGAAAAAATGTAAAATAAAGGGGGAAAAAAAGGGAAAATGTGGGGGAATGTGGAAAAGGCAGGAAAAAGGTGAAATTGCATCAAAAATGGGATTTTTTTTTGCAGGTTTGCCAAGCTGCTGCTGCGGCTGCCGGCGCTGCGCTCCATCGGCCTCAAGTGCCTGGAGCATCTGTTCTTCTTCAAACTCATCGGGGACACCCCCATCGACACCTTCCTCATGGAGATGCTCGAGGCCCCCCACCAGCTCTCCTGAGCCCCCACAACAGCCCCCAAACAGCCCCAAAATATCCCCAAAATATCCCCAAAAAATCCCAAAAAAATCCCCAAAAATTCCCGAAAAAATCCCCCAAAAATCCCAATTTTCGCCCTTTTTTTTGGATTTTTTTCACCCATTTTTCGCCCCCTCGTTGCTCCCCATGGGTGCTCAGAGGGGAGAAAATTTAAGGATTCCCCCCCAAAATAACCCCAAATTTTTTCCCAATTTTTTTCCCAAATATTCCCAAAATTTCCCCCAATTTTTCCCTTTTTTTCCCAATTTTTCCCTTTTTTTCCAATTTTTCCCCCATTTTCCTGCCCCTCGTTGCTCCCCATGGGTGCTCAGAGGGGCGAAAATTTAAGGATTTCCCCTAAAATATCCCCAAATTTTTTGCCAATTTTTTTCCCAATTTTTCCCAGATTTTCCCCAAACTTTCCCCTTTTTTTCTCCCATTTTTTCCCATTTTTTGGCTTTTTCCCCCCATTTTCTGCCCCCTCGTTGCTCCCTATGGGTGCTCAAGGAGGGGAAAATTTGGGGGAACCTGCCCCAAAAAAGCCCCGAAATTCCCCCAAATTTCCCCCATTTTTTCCCCAAATATTCCCAAAGTTTTCCCAATTTTTCCCATTTTTTGGCTTTTTTCCCCCATTTTCCTGCCCCTCGTTGCTCCCTATGGGTGCTCAAGGAGGGGAAAATTTGGGGGAACCTGCCCCAAAAAAGCCCCGAAATTCCCCCAAATTTCCCCCATTTTTTCCCCAAATATTCCCAAAATTTCCCCAAATTTTCTCCATTTTTCCTCCCATTTTTTCCCATTTTTTGGCTTTTTTCCCCCATTTTCCTGCCCCTCGTTGCTCCCTATGGGTGCTCAAGGAGGGGAAAATTTGGGGGAACCTGCCCCAAAAAAGCCCCGAAATTCCCCCAAATTTCCCCCATTTTTTCCCCAAATATTCCCAAAATTTCCCCAAATTTTCTCCATTTTTCCTCCCATTTTTTCCCATTTTTTGGCTTTTTTCCCCCATTTTCCTGCCCCTCGTTGCTCCCTATGGGTGCTCAAGGAGGGGAAAATTTGGGGGAACCTGCCCCAAAAAAGCCCCGAAATTCCCCCAAATTTCCCCCATTTTTTCCCCAAATATTCCCAAAATTTCCCCAAATTTTCTCCATTTTTCCTCCCATTTTTTCCCATTTTTTGGCTTTTTTTCCCCATTTCCCGCCCTCTCGTTGCTCCCCATGGGTGCTCATGGAGGGGAAAATTTGGGGGAACCCACCCTAAACAAATCCCCAAAATTTCCCCAAATTTTCTCCATTTTTCCTCCCATTTTTTCCCATTTTTTGGCTTTTTTTCCCCATTTCCCGCCCTCTCGTTGCTCCCCATGGGTGCTCATGGAGGGGAAAATTTGGGGGAACCCACCCTAAACAAATCCCCAAAATTTCCCCAAATTTGCCCAAAATCGTTCCCAATTTTTCCCAGATTTCCCCCAAATTTTTCCCATTTTTTCCCATTTTTGGCTTTTTTTCCCCATTTCCCCTCCCCACGGGTGCTCAAGGAGGGGAAAATTTGGGGGAACCTCCCTTAAAAAAACCCAAAATTTCCCCAAATTTTCCTCCTTTTTTCCCATTTTCCCCAAATTTCCCCCAATTTTCCCAAATTTTCCCAATTTTCCCCATTTTCCCTTCGTGTCTTTGGGGCAAATTCGGGGGTCCCGCCCCTCCCCCACCCATTTTTGGGAGGGGTCCCCCCCAATTTTCAGCCCCTCCCCCCAAAATTCCCAAATTCCCCCCAAAAAAATTCCCAATTTTTTTCCCCAAAGGAAAAAATTGGAAAAAATGGGAAAAAATGGGAAAAATGGGGAAAAAATGGGAAAAATGGGGGGGAAATGGGGGAAAAAGAGGGGGGGAAGGGGGAAATTTGGGAATGCGGGGGGGAGAATTGGGGAGAAAAAGGTGAAAATCGGGAAAAAACGGAGGGAAAATAGGCAAAAATGGGAAAAAATGGCAAAAATGGGAAAAAATAGGGCAAAAAAGGGGGGAAAAAAGGAAAATTTGGGGGAAAATTGGGAGAAATGGGGGGAATTCATCCCAGTATCCCCCGTTCCCCTCACCCCCCAGTCCCTCCCAGTCCCTCCCAGTTCCCCCAGTTCCCTCCCGGTATTCCCAGTCCCCCCCAGTCGCCCCCAGTTCGATCCCAGTTTGATCCCACTCCATCCCAGTCCCCATCCCAGTCCCTCTCAGTTCATTCCCAGTCACTCCCAGTTCCCTCCCAGTCCCTCCCAGTCCCTCCACAGTGCTCCCAGTTCCATCCCAGTTGCTCCCAGTTCCCCCAATCCCCCCAGTCCATCCCAGTTGCTCCCAGTAACGGCTCCCAGTGCTCCCAGTGGATCCCAGTTTGGACCCAGTCCCTCCCAGTCCCCCCCCCGCCCAGTCCATCCCAGTCCCTCCCAGTGCTCCCAGTTTGATCCCAGTCCATTTCCAGTGCCTCCCAGTCCCCCCCAGTCCCCCCCAGTGCCCCCAGTCTGGGTGGGCGTGGCCTGTGTGTGGGCGTGGCCGCGGTGGGCGGGGCCTGCCGGGGTCTCTGTCCCGGCCCCGCCGCGCTCGGGCCCCGCGGCCGCCACCAGCCGCGCCTGTCGCGACAGAGACCGCGACACCGCGACACAGACACCGCGACACCGGCACCGCGGGGAGCCTCTGTCGCGACAGGCACCGGCACCGCGGGGCTCTCGGGGCCTCCCCCCGGGGCTCTGTCGGCTCCTCTGTCGCGACATCGCGGCTCTGCCCCCGGGGATTCTCTCGGCTCCTCTGTCGCGATATCGAGTCTCTGTCCCGGGGTTGTTCCGGCTCCTCTGTCGCGACATCGCGGCTCTGCCCCGGGGCTCTGTCGCCGCCTCTGTCGCGACATCGCGTTGCCGCCATGGCCCCGCCGCCGGCGCTGCTGCTGCTGCTGCTGCTGGGAACCGCGACAGCGACACGGCCCGGTGAGACTGGGATCAAACTGGGAGCGACTGGGAGCGACTGGGGGGCACTGGGGGGCACTGGGAATGGACTGGGATCAAACTGGGAGCGACTGGGAGCGACTGGGGGGCACTGGGGGGCACTGGGAATGGACTGGGATCAAACTGGGAGCGACTGGGAGCGACTGGGGGGCACTGGGGGGCACTGGGAATGGACTGGGATCAAACTGGGAGCGACTGGGAGCGACTGGGGGGCACTGGGGGGCACTGGGAATGGACTGGGATCAAACTGGGAGCGACTGGGAGCGACTGGGGGGCACTGGGGGGCACTGGGAATGGACTGGGATCAAACTGGGAGCGACTGGGAGCGACTGGGGGGCACTGGGGGGCACTGGGAATGGACTGGGATCAAACTGGGAGCGACTGGGAGCGACTGGGGGGCACTGGGGGGCACTGGGAATGGACTGGGATCAAACTGGGAGCGACTGGGAGCGACTGGGGGGCACTGGGGGGCACTGGGAATGGACTGGGATCAAACTGGGAGCGACTGGGAGCGACTGGGGGGCACTGGGGGGCACTGGGAATGGACTGGGATCAAACTGGGAGCGACTGGGAGCGACTGGGGGGCACTGGGGGGCACTGGGAATGGACTGGGATCAAACTGGGAGCGACTGGGAGCGACTGGGGGGCACTGGGGGGCACTGGGAATGGACTGGGATCAAACTGGGAGCGACTGGGAGCGACTGGGGGGCACTGGGGGGCACTGGGAATGGACTGGGATCAAACTGGGAGCGACTGGGAGCGACTGGGGGGCACTGGGGGGCACTGGGAATGGACTGGGATCAAACTGGGAGCGACTGGGAGCGACTGGGGGGCACTGGGGGGCACTGGGAATGGACTGGGATCAAACTGGGAGCGACTGGGAGCGACTGGGGGGCACTGGGGGGCACTGGGAATGGACTGGGATCAAACTGGGAGTGACTGGGAGCGCTGGGAGTCCTGGGAGCAACTGGGGGAATGAGGGACTGGGACAAACTGGGATGGACTGGGACAAACTGGGATGGACTGGGACAAACTGGGATGGACTGGGGCCACTGCAAGAGTGGGGGGGCTGGGGATACTGGGAGAACTGGGACAAACTGGGAGCACTGGGATCCACTGGGAGAACTGGGACAAACTGGGAGCACTGGGATCCACTGGGAGCACTGGGACAAACTGGGAGCACTGGGAAGAACTGGAACTGGGAGGAACTGGGGCAAACTGGGAGCCATTACTGGGAGCACTGGGAGTGACTGGAACTGGGGGGAACTGGGATCTACTGGGATCCACTGGGATCCACTGGCAGCTGTTACTGGGAGCACTGGGAGGGACTGGGATGAACTGGGACAAACTGGGAGCACTGGGAGCAACTGGGGAATGGGGATACTGGGAATACTCGGAGCAACTGGGAGCACTGGGACAAACTGGGAAGAACTGGGACCACTGGGAGTACTGGGAGCACTGGGAGTGACTGGGGCCATCACTGGGAGCCGTTACTGGGAGCACTGGGAGGGACTGGGAACTACTGGGAGCCGTTACTGGGAGCACTGGGAGGGACTGGGAACTACTGGGAGCCGTTACTGGGAGCACTGGGAGGGACTGGGAACTACTGGGAGCACCGGGAAGAACTGGAACTGGGATGAACTGGGACAAACTGGGAGCACTGGGAAGAACTGGAACTGGGAGGAACTGGGGCAAACTGGGAGCCATTACTGGGAGCACTGGGAGTGACTGGAACTGGGGGGAACTGGGATCTACTGGGATCCACTGGGATCCACTGGCAGCTGTTACTGGGAGCACTGGGAGGGACTGGGAACTACTGGGAGCCGTTACTGGGAGCACTGGGAGGGACTGGGAACTACTGGGAGCCGTTACTGGGAGCACTGGGAGGGACTGGGAACTACTGGGAGCCGTTACTGGGAGCACTGGGAGGGACTGGGAACTACTGGGAGCCGTTACTGGGAGCACTGGGAGGGACTGGGAACTACTGGGAGCACCGGGAAGAACTGGAACTGGGATGAACTGGGACAAACTGGGAGCACTGGGAGCTTTTACTGGGAGCACTGGGATCAAACT